CGCACGTCATCTCAAGAGTCCCTCTCTGTTAATCTCACTCAAGGTTCTGTTACGCACTCTACTCTATCAGTAGCTTCTGACACACCATGACACGTGTCTGATCAAGAAACTCAAACAATGGTCACACTGTTGGGCTCAGTGGTATCTTGACTCTGGAGCAACACATCATGTTGCTCACACTGCTCATAATTTCCTGGACAATATATCCACATCTGGCTTTGACCAAGGTACGAGCAAGCTTTGTGTAACGTGATCCAGTTGGCGTAAACACGATGGTTTAAAGAAACCTGCGGTGATATGTTACTGTTTCGATTCGTGTCAACTTTCCGGAGGGCAAAAACAACAAATAGCGATAGCAAGGGCAATGTTAAAGAATCCAGCAATTCTTCTCCTTGACGAAGCAACAAGTGCGTTGGATTCTGAATCGGAAAAGCTGGTGCAAGAAGCTTCAACCCAGTCCCCTGCAACAGCTTCTGGGGCTGCCCAGTTGACAGCAGGAACTGCTGGAATAGGTTGTGGAGTAGCATCAGACCATGACTGATCGATTGCAGCCGGCCACTGACCATCAATGGGGTTAGCAGCTGCATTGAAGTCAGCAATGGCATACTCTGGAGCAGGAACTTCATCCTCCTCTTCCTGCTTAGCCTCCTCTGGTTCTCTATAGAAGAATAGATCAACCATGACATCCCATTTAAGACCGGGGCGAATTGTACCACGCATCTGCAACACCATCCTAGCCAAAAGCCAAAAGAGACAACCTATGTTATGCTTCCCTTTGTTGTTGGCAGGAATTCCAATGTCAACATATCGCATAGGAGAATCAGTGTCACAGAAAGCAATTGTGGGAATATTCCCAAGAGCTGCTTCTTTAATTGGCTCAATCGGTTCAATTGTTTGTGGATCACTTAGTGCGTTTTTTGCTTATGTTCTTAGTGCTGTTCTCAGTATCTATTATAATCCGGACCACAAATACATGATCCGAGAAATAAATAAGTACTGCTACTCGTTGATTGGCCTTTCATCAACTGCACTTATCTTCAATACATTGCAACACTTCTTCTGGAATATTGTTGATGAAAATCTTATGAAATGTGTGAGGGAGAAATGCTGATGAACCTGCAAAGAAATTGAATGTATCAGTAAAAATTGTTGTGTTACCACAGTGAAAGGCATGAGTAAAAACAGACAAATTCAAAAGCTACAAACAGACAAAGAACATGCTGTTTTCAATCCCACAACTTCAGCCCTTGCTCCCATTGCAAAAAGTATCTCATTTTTTTTCCCAAAGAGGAAGAGACCCAAAGTTCCCACAACTTCTCTAATTTAAACCCTAATCTCACATCATATATATACTGGCTACTGCTCATCCAAAAAAACCCTAACAGAAGAACAGCTGCCTTCCCTCACAACTCACCTCTATCATAAAGAATTGAAAAAAGAGGAGATTGAAGGAGGAGCTCACCTGCGTTCTGTATCAACAATCTGGTGGTATTGCTTCTACTTTGTAAGTATTCTGTTACTCTTTCTGTCTTCATAGTCTTGATCTATGTTGTTTGGTTCATCTTGTTTCCTGGCATTGAGTCTAACGAACCCTCACCATTTACAACTTACTTCAAACTCTACTCGCCTCAACTTCACTATCTCCAAACTCTCAATCTCACGTTCAGACAGCAAACCTATTTCTCCATTCTTCAAACTCAAACCTTCAAAATCCTTACCAACATCTCTACACGCTTCAAACGTTCGTCAGTTCAACGTCACCTTCAATCTCCATTAACATCAACCAACTCTAACCCAGAAACTCCCATTTCATCTTCTCAGAACCCACTATCCGCCATTACCTAAACCTACCTTCCTTTCAAACCGTATTCGTCAAACGTTCAAAACAGAACAACCAACTGCTTACCAACTTCAAACCAAAACGAAAACCCCGCAAATCCACCGTTTTCACCTCATAATACATAAAACCATTGTAACCCAGAATCAACTCAATAGAACCAATTGAAACCCATTCCAACACAAGTTCAAAGGTGAGAAGAATGTGAGACGGGATTCATGCGGCCGTGTACGGACAAGAAGGGTTCACTTTGCTTTCTCTTTTTGATTTTATCTTGCTGATTGACTTGGACTCACTAAGCTCATGAGCTATGTGGATTTTCCTTCTACAATTTTCAATCCATACCATGCCCCGTTTTTGTTAACAGAAACCACTCCCTGTTCTTTTCTTTTTTTCCTTTCCTTTATTTTCTTAAACCTTTTATGTAAGTATTATTATTATAATTTTTTTTCTGTACATATGTATTGTATGTTGATCTTATATTATATTTATTTTTACATTTTTTTTAATATATTATATATTTTATATTAATTTCTTTAGAGCTTTTGCATATATATTTTATTTAGAAGTTATTATTCTTTTAGATTATTTTGTTATGTAAATATATATAGTTCTCTATTTAGAATTACCTTTTATTTTCTTAAAGTTATTCTATACCTCATTTGTTATTAGGCGTTTTGTCCCATTATTCCTCGTTTTTGGTTGATGACGAAAGTTCCATAAATCGATTTCTAATCAATATATATTGATAAGTATCGTCGGATCTGAGACCACCTCTTTTCTCTCCTCGCGTTACTTGTCCCGACTCGATTCAAAACTTTGTCAAACAATTTTCAAAATCAAATTATCTTTGTATTGAATTAAAAGAGGGGATTAAGTGTAGACTTTCTTCTTCTCCGAGTGTCGGGATGCCCACTGTAGTGAGGGTGGTTCCGACGCTCGTCTTTCAATACGAAGACGCTTCCCGTCCATTTTCAAATCTCATCTCCTTAAAATCCTTTCTTTGTGTTGAGCTAAAAAGAGGATTGGGTGTAGACCTCTTCTTCTTCGAGCGTAGGGATGCCCACTGTAGTGAGGGTGGTCTCGATGCTCGTCTGTCAATACAAAGACGCTTCCAACATTTCCTCATAAAACCTCGGTCTCGTACCGAGTATACTTTCAGTAATAAATTGATTTCTCTTTGTATCGAATTAAGAAGAGAAGATTGGGTGTAGACCTCTTCTTCTTCGAGTGTTGAGATGCCCACTGTAGTGAGGGTGGTCTCGACACTCGTCTTTCAATACGAAGACGCGACTTCTTCCATCACCTCTCGCTTTCACAACTTCATTCCGCAACCCTTGTCACCTAAAAACCTCGGTCTCGTACCGAGTGCACTTTCAAACTTCTTTTCATAACAAAACTTGAATGGTCGCGGAGTGGTTAGGCGTAGGCCTTCTCCTATCCCGAGTGCTGACGTTTACCGTAGGGTTCTCTGTCGCAAAGCACTTACCATTCAAAACCAAAAAACATCTTTAATAAGAGAACGAAGTTCTCTTTGCATTGAATTAAAGAGAGAGGATTGGGTGTAGACCTCTTCTTCTCCGAGCGTAGGGATGCCCACTGTAGTGAGGGTGGTTTCGACGCTCGTCTTTCGATACGAAGACGCCTCGTTCGCCACACCCTTTTATAACAAAAACTTTGAGACAATGAATTGGGTACTACCCGTAGGGGTTACTATCCGAGGACTTGTCTCGCCCCCTAAAAAACAATCCAATCAATCAAACGCGACTTCTTGCCCCGCGTGGCGAAAACTAATCAGTCTTTCAAAAAGGATATGTTACGTCCGTTCTACCGCAAACAGGTAACGCCTAAGTCTCCAACGAGCGAGCAGCAAAACACCTAACTGCTAGAATGCGCACGATAGCATCACCCATAAAAAACATCAACACACCGTAGGCCGAACTACGGCTGCTCTGATTCTTTATTTCTTTTTGCGTAAAGATACGTAGGCACAAGGGCCACAATCCTTGCCGAGCACATTCCCCCCTATATCTGTAGTTCCCCGAACTACGTCGACTCTGACTTTCTCACATCTATTGAGAATACGTAGGCATAGGACTGCAAAGTCCTACCGAGTCCGTTCTTTCTCATCTTCCCCCCATTTCCTCTCTTTCCCCGTTTCTAAACCCTTCTCTTTACCCATTGGAACACTTTTTATAGCATAATATTTAAGCAGATAAATTCACATGTCGACAAACAAAAGGTTCCCATCGAGTACGATGGATGCGAGGGGTGCTAATACCTTCCCCTCGCATAACCGGCTTCCGAACCCGTTCTTGGTTGCGAGACCATCTTATCCGTTCGTTTCTTAAGGTTTTCTCGATATTTTCCTTTCCCCTCATGGGATAAATAAAGTTCGGTGGCGACTCTTCTGTCAATCTTTTTCGCCTTCCCGTCGTTGCGCGACGCTTTTTTTCGAGTAGCGACAGTTCCTTCATAGGATCAGGGACTTCAGCACTTATAATCCTGTCAATATCTTCGAGTCTTAGATATTTATTAGAAGGATGCAAGAATATCAAAATATGTGCATGTGGCAACCCTCTCTTTTGAAACTCAATGGTGTACATATCTACAAAAAAAATAAGTAAGTCAAAAGTAAATTCTAATAATGTGTAACAAATTGAAAAGTTACGGTGAGAAAAGAAAACATACATCCAAGCACCTTGCCAAGCACTCCCCTTTTTGCCAAATCTGATAGAAGTTGATCAAGCTTGATTTTAAAGATCCTCGAAATTACATCAGGACGATCTTGGGGTTTTAGTCCAAAAGGTGTAAGTAATCTTTGTATTTCAGGCCAATTTGGATTGCAAGTGAATGTTACAAATAAATCAGGAAACCCCACCTTGCTACAAATAGCCATTCCATCATAGTACAATTGATTCATAAACCTCCTTCCACCAACATAAGTAGAAGGCAAAACCACTCTTTTTCCTGTTGTAGAACCATGTGTTTCAGTTTGGTCACCCACTCCAGTAAGACTGTTGTATTTCGATACCCTTAATTTAGGTTGATTTTGACGAATCCATTGAAGTCTTTCGGACTCTAACATTGTGTAACCATCAACTAAGAATTGTTGAAAAAGCCTTCTTGAAGCCATCAAAGTTTTAGCCTCACATGATCTGTTTTAAATGCGAAATGCTAACCACTCTCTAATTGTAAGTCTATTTCTCTTGTTGTCTTGGAATATGTCTAAGTCTCGATGAGCTATGTTTGGTCTATAGCCATCTTCTCCATAAGGGAAAATTAAAGGATATTGATACGCCAAGTAACTTGCATGGAGCTCGTTAGTTCTTTGTAACTCTCCACCTTTAGTTTGCATGATGATATCCCTAATTTCTGTTGTATCAAGATCACCAACTATCAAAGCAGCAACCTCAGAAATAGTTGGTTGATTATATACTCTTCCATCCGTGGATCTATTAGAAATGAGTCTTAATTTCAGGTTTTGTGTATTTGAATTTAATAACCAATGTTTAGCCATTTTAAAACTTTTGGCATGAGGGTTATGCTCGTAGAGCATATCTGACAACTTTTGTACAATTACCGAATCAATGTTTTTTGTGTTCCTGTAAATGTAAATGTTTTATTATGTCAAATATAATATAGAGTAGTATGTAAGGAATAAATTGCAACACATGAAGTGTATAATTAATGGTAAGAAAGTAATGTATGTCAAATAGTTATACTTCAAACCCTGCATTCTATTATGGACCTCATTGTCCGTGTCAAAAATATATAGTTGTGCAAATTTAGGTGGTTGACCTTCTGGTGGAAGCAAACTTCCAATACGATGACATTATTGACCTTGAATTCGTAAAGTGGGTGGTCCACCCCCATTGTTAAAACAGTTATCCAACTTTGCACCTGGTGATGTGAAGGCAAACATCATGTTGTAAATGTGAATCTGTTGTTGAAACTTACTGCTAACTATATCCCCATCAAAAAGGAGATGTACTAGTAAAGGAGGGGGTTGTTTGAGTAATAGCAGTTCGACCTTTTCGTTACCACAACACAATGAAAATTTGGGATTGGATGAATGAGAAATTTTATTCATTCTCTCTTGATACCACATCATGGCTTTACAATAACGACACTCAATTAATGGATCATCAATGTCATAAATATTCTACAAGAAAATATAATGTGCTATATAAGAAAACTAATGGCAATATATAAATATGCATTTAGAATAAGAACAACCTTCAGACGATGTTTGAGAAATCCCATTAATAGAAAAAGGTGAATGACATTCCTCAAAATCAGAAATGGAGTCATTGTCAGATTGATGATCTAAAAGAAAGTGGAAAAAAGTCGTTAAAATTAGAAAGTAATGAAAAAGTTGAAGATAACTAAAAACAGTAGTCATGAAGATTCGATTTATATTAAGAAAGATTAAAATGACATAAATAAAGTATTGTGGAGTTGCCGTAGGAAATTCGAATCCAGAACTAAGAAATACGAAATCATGCTTAGCATGAAGGGCATATAAAGTACCGATTGAACATTAATTTTATATAACTTACTTGTGAAAGGATCTAAGTCAGAGTCACATTCCGTATCGGCATTGAAATCTTCATTTGCACATGGCGTAAAAGTAGAACACAGTTGTTGGGATTTTGGTATAGAATTGTCGATTTGCAAGGCAGATTGTTGGTCCATGTGAAGAAATCTGTTTGAGCCTTGTATATTCCCTTGGCTATTTGGTTAAGACAATATTACATATGCATTGAAGATGTTGTTGTAATTAACTGTTAAAATTTGAAAAGCTACAAACATTTCAATGTACCTATAATACGATAAGGATCCAGCTTGCATGACAGATGTATCACGAACCGTATCATAATGGGCTTCGGCAACACGTCTTGTTAGATTCATTGCTAGATGTAGAACTCCCAAATATTTTCTTGGACGACCTCGACGGGTTTTAACAGCTGTATCATTGCTGGAAGAGTATCCAAAATGAAATGCAGGCCATGAAAATTTGTTAAACATATATAAATAGAATGTAGGCTGCCGGGATATCGTCAATGGAAGCAACCATAGAGTTCTTGTAATATCTTAGTTTTCATATCAAAAAGGTAAGTAAAATAACATAATTTGCTGATCGACATTGCATTCTGACTATGTAGGAATCATGTGTTTGAAACAGACCACATTGTAACTACATACAGCTGCTAAAATGAAGTTATAAGTTGCATACCTCAGTGTGATATGCAAGGCTGGTTCAATGAAATGTGAAGGTGTAGTTGGTTCTTGGAAATGATGAATTCGCAAAGCCAAATTGGGTTGAGATTGATGTTGTTGCGTGTTGAATTTGCGTGGTCTTCCACAAGGTCATTTGGTTTATTGTGATGAGCTATGACAAACCAAAAAAAGGAACAACATGAGTGTTATAAGTCATATAGCAGCATAATAACCAAATGGGAGTTTCTAACCTCGTGCCGATTTGTTTAGGTTTGCCTGAAACAGTTAGGCCATCCAACATAATTCCACGACCAATTGAGCATGCACGTGGAGTAGTTCAAATCACAATTAAAATATATTACAAACTTTAGGCTGTGTCGAGCATGAAACAATTTTAACAATGTTGATAGTGCATCCAATAATAAATGTAGACCATGAATATTTGTTAAAACCGGATTCTTCAAACATCTTAGCAACTACAACTCACAAAGACATCTAACATAACATAACAGTATGCTCATCAGAGTATATGTTAAGATTATTCAGCTAGAAAGATTACAGATGTAAGTTGGAAACCTCTGTGTGATTTGCAGGAATGGTTCAATGACATGTGAAGTTGTAGTTGTTTCATGAAAATGAAGATTACGTAACGCCAATTTAGGATGAGATTGAGTATGCTGTGTGTTGCTTTTGCGTGCTCTTCCATGAGGTTGGTCGGTTGGTTGTGATGAGCTACGACAAAACAAAAAAATAAGTTATAACATGAGTGATGTTACTCATATTACTTGGCCAGGTAAATATAAGTATGCACCATAAACAAAAGGCCGTTTCTAACTTCGTGTCGATTTGTTTAGATTTTTCTGAGATATCAAGGCTATCCAACAATATTTCACGACCAATTGAGCATGCAAGTGGAGTAGTTCTAAACAACATGTGAATACATTACAAAGAGTAGGCATAATTAGAAAACCAAAATTAAGTGTAAAACACGGTTAGATTATTGCATCTAATATAATTTATCACCACAAATATGTTTAAAGTAGTCTTGGAATGACTAACGCATACGTTACATAATATAAGGAATATTATGTACCAATATGGGCAATATGTCATTAAAATTTGGCTACTGTGTTTAACCAATACATATAAGTAACAATGAACATAGTATGAATCTATTTGCAAGTATACACCAGAATGTTAACAGGCATAGAATGCATAAGTAACAATGGTGAATTTGTAGACTTATCAGTGTGTGGTAAAATTTACTGGATAGATTAGATACATTGTATTGCTAGATTATAAAGAAACCATGAAGTGATGGCGTTCTAGTAGTAATATTGATAGAAAATTAAAAGAATAAAAGTCCATAATGAAATAATTACTGTCTTAGAGTAGAAGTCCCAAACACATTTAACACGGATCCGCACATGACAGGTTCAGTTGTGCACGGTGGGACAACATCACAATGTGAAATATTATCATTTTCATAGCACGTAACAGCACTTGTGAACTTGGTCAACAAATTAGTTCCTCTACTGTTAATTTTAGAGAATGTGTTGGTATGATGAAAGGTATGTCTGCTTTGGGAAGGTTCTGGTCCTAGAATTCTTGCTTCCAACAACTTACCGTCTGCAACAACTCTCGTAACAGAATCTTGGTTTAGTTGTGAAGGGGTAATGTTTGACAGTGGCATTATAGAGGTATTGACATTTGGGGTATGTAGCTGTTGAGTAAATGTTTTGTCAGGATGTCGTGTGTCATGTAAGCGTTTCAAACATTTTTGTTGAACGACATATTTTCTTCGCGCCCTTGCTCTTTTTGCTGGCTCATTTGTGGGTGGATAATCCATCAGATTAAAAATAGCAATATATGTCCAAAGACTGCATAATAGAAAACATAGAATACCGTCAAATTACACGAGAATTCCATCAATAAGAGACTTGTGAAAGCTAAGTTAGATATTCTGTCATTGCCATAAGTTTTTGTAGGGAACAACAATAGATATTGCTTCTTATGTGTGGTATATGATTCATATTAGAGTTAGTCCATAGTTAAGGCAACATATATATGTATAAATGAGCCACCTAAAAAATAGTGGACATTAATATAGACAGAGCAACTATCATAATTGCGCTGGGAAATTTGTTGGTGAGAATAAATATAGGTCGATACAAACCGTGTGTATAAATACCAACAGAAACTCCCACAGACATCATGGCACTAAGGGATTATGGGAGTAACAATTTTCTCAACTTAAAATTTAGTAACAATAATGAGATTGGGTTGTTATGTGCAAGGTTTCACAAAGTATCTCAAGAATTCAGAATGTAGTGTAAGGTAAGCCAGATTAAGCATTGGTTTTGTCATTTCTAACCATGGCGATGCATTGAAATCAGTTTGTGGTTGGTTGTATCATGTGAAACTTTATGCTAAAACGTGTCATGATATTGTCATCAATTAAGAAACTAGCTCAAAATAAGAAAGAATATAAACATGGAAAAAACAATTGAAGAGTTGATAGTCACCTTATTGAAAGAGTAGTGCAACTGTTGATAGGAAAAATCGATTAACATCCATGTCTGTCAGCAAGAGCTCAAATTAAAAAACTGAAAATACATGTAAGAGTTTCATGGGTAGTGTTAATAAGCTTCATAGTGGGAAACTGGTGTGTGATTTACATTTGGTAAGAGGGATTAAATGTAACATAGTTATTTGGTTTAATAATAAAGAACTCATTGTATTTGATCACCTAATTAGAAGCACATTAAGGAAATAAAATGTTTTGAAGCATAAACATGTTATAGTTAATTGTGTATTCATTTGTTTGGTAACTATAATTTAGATGTCTAGCACCCTGTGAATGTAAGGCATAGAGAAAATGTTTTAAAAAAAAATCTTGAATATGATGCAGAGAAACTGTTATATAATAAAGTGAGTAATATGTTAATTATGTAGTAGCAGCAACATTGTATGTTAGTTTGTCATAGTGTGTCCACTTCAACCTTACATTAATATGATAAACAAAATAGAGTTCTACCCTAATGTATCCATGCTGGAGGCTAATGATGTCAGAAAAGCAAACATGGCAACATTGATATTGATGGATGCTGATGTGCATAAAGGTTTCATAGCAAGTTTCATGCAACATGAGTCTGCAGAAAGTTAAAGTTGCAGAAGCAATTAAAATCTGAGTTGACCAGTTGATGAAGGATTTCCAAAAAATAAGAAAGTTTGCTAGCTGTCTTTATTTATCATAAAGTTAACAGGATGTAAATTCATCTTAATACCATGCACAAGGACCAAGCAAAAAGTACAACAGGATTTGTAAAAAAGTTTGATTTGATTGAGTGTCATAAAGGAAAAACTAAAGGACATGAGTACATCCAAACAGTATGTAATGTAACTTGGTTTGTTTTCCAAAACATTAGTGTAGGAAATGGGAAGAAAAGTAACTATTCAAAGATTACAAAAGTATGGCCAAAGAAGTTGTTGGGGGCTGACATGTTGTTGATGCAGGATGCATACACAATTTGTGATGCAGGTAGGAAAAATATTGTGAACTATACAATGTTAAACCATAGTAATTGTTGATGTTGCATATATAATTAATATATGAGAAATCACAGTTGAAAATAGAAGGATTAAGGAAAGTCATATTAAGATGAATTCTTATAAGTTCCAAAAGTGCAAATTGGCAATGATATAGAAAGACTTTTCTTTTGTTGGTGATTAAAATCATGTAGAAACATTGTAATTATCAAGACCTGAATTTCATAAGTCTAAGTAAGATGAAGATCAGTGATTTGGTTTGTGTACAAAGAAACAAAAACATTTTGTATTGTGTTTCAAATGAACCTATTCATATGGTCAAGGCATCAGTGTAATTATCAGCATATCATTGATTGCAAAACAAACATGTATGATGCATATTACATAATACATAGGTTTGTGCAGAAGGGAGTAGATAAGATTGAATTAAACAACAGTAGTTAACATAGTTGTGCAGAAGTTTGGAATGAATCCTTACACAAATTATCTTAACAAAATATTTGAATCTAACACAAAATGAGGTACTACCTAAAGAGTCACTCCTTCTTGAGGTGCTTCACCTTGGTTGCTGAATTCTTTGGAGTCAGGACATCATCTTGCAAAAAATCATCAGGAAAAGTAGGAATGGCGACCCTCTTAGCAGGGGTGTTGCTAGAGCAAGTGGATCGACTGCAAGTTCGGGTGGCAGAATTTTCTGGATGTGTGTTGTAGTGTTGGTCAGAAGAAACTGATTGCTAGACAAAACAAAAATTAATGGTTAATATGTTATGCCTCGAGTACAAAACAGTATATTGGAAGTTTTGCAGCATGTGAAGAAAGAAGACATACAATTGGTTTAAGTTCAACAGCCATAGCATGCTATGTATCAGTTTTCAAAAAGGCAGTCTTAGAGGTATGCTGCCAAAACATAAGACCACAAATTGAATGCAATCAGTTATGTTAAAAACATGATAAATTGTAAAGTTTACGCATTATGAGTTAATTTCCACAACAAAATTGTACCTCATCCGGTTTAAGGGCTTCAGATAATGTTTTGTAAACACCATGATCATTAAGGACAGTAACAATTGAGAATTGATCGAAAAAAGATTGATATTTGATTCTAAATGCAAATTGTTGATCCAAAAGTTTGTCTAGGTGTATGGGATAAATTTTTGGGTTATCCTCTCCAGCCTTGATGAATAATCACATCATAAAATTAGTCATAAGTGAGTAAAACCATGAATAAGAGAAACATAGTAATAAAATGAATAATGCATTTACCTCCTTCATTACTTGTCTCAATTCCCTAGCAGTCATAGTAACATATGGAATAACATCTTTATCCCAAAACACAAAGCATCCAACATGATTATCAAACTCGACTTCTACCTCGATTTTGTATCTATGCCATGAAAACAAAAGCGGTTCAAGTATGTAAAACATGTTGCAAAGTTATAATAGAATGAATAAAAGCGATATAGAAATATTACTTTGTCATAGGTTCAACATCTTTGACTCCACAAAGACATATGAATTTGGGGCCAGTGGACTTTTTTGATGTCTTACAACTGGGGAAAGCCTCGAAATACCAGCCATGCTTTGACACCTTAAATCTCTTGGTAGTGCCAATGGTTGTGGCAAAATAATCCTAGTTTGACATCACAAAGTGTTGGTAGATATTTCAAGAAATAATTAAGGTTGTAACGACAATTTAAAAGCAGACCTTGCCGATTTCACAAATGTGACGGATACTCTTGACCTCATTAGATTTTGTCCAACTTTTGTTGCTAGACTGCATAAAGGATTCAGAAGTCTGGGTTATAGAATGAGTTGGTGCAGCAGCTGAGTGTGTGGATCCTAGCCTGAATTTTTTTTGTAGAACTTTAATTATTAATGAATCAAATCAAAGTAAATTGAGTTCAGCAAAACTATAGACAAGTAACTAACTGTTTAATGTAGGAACATACTTGGTTTTAAAATCGAGAACTTGGGGATGCTCCAAGTTGATGTGGAGTCTTGATCCATTCCATGCATTGGATAGGCTAGGCAATCCAGGTGCTGCTTGAAAAAATTCAGACTTTAAGTTATTGAATTGATAAACATAGCATGCATATTACATAATGATGTTGTTTGTAAAAACTTGAGACAAAATATCACTACCAACCAAAGATGCTGCTACAAAAATTGACACGCTGCTACAAATATCACTACTGAGTGAAATTGAAAGGACATGTTGCATTATCAATATTACTACAAATGTTACTACTAACTGAAATTCTAGTTATGTCCTATTAATACATCCAACCTTGCAAGAGTCATCCATTTCAAAAGAGGACACTGCAATGGACACCAACAAAATGCAGCAGACAGATGTTTCAAGAACACAAAAATATTTAAAATAATTTGTGAATTACAAAAGTCAGAATGGTAAAGCGGTAAGATTGATGATACATCAGTGGAAAAAATCAAAGACATGCTGCTACATATGTTACTACCAAATGATGGTAGCATTATAATTTGAGACATGTTCCATCTAAGCTTGCAAGACTAATCAATTTGTAAAGAGCACACTGCAATGCATACCTACAAAATGCAGAGTCACTTCTTTGAAGAACAAAAATATCATTAGAATAGCCTTAAAATTATATAAACAAAGATCTAAATATGAAAATGCACAATCATAATTATTAACCAATGCAAATTACAGAAGTAACAGCTGAGAAACTAATTATAATGCAATAGACTTGGATGTGTATCACAATAACTTTGTTACCTTGATTTTGCTTGCACCATGCGTGTGTTAAGACAATGAGTGTTGGTCCGGGAAACTTGTTGGAACTATTATAGCTCATGAATTGTTTACCGTAATCATCCCATAACGCAACCTCAATAATATTTCCAGCTCCATCTCTTAAAGTGATGTTGGCACATGATTTCTTACCACCACCGCCCATTTGCGTCTTGATAACGTCTTGTAAAACCCCGATGACATCTGTAATATATGAGAATGAGAAAAAGTGACAATTTTTTCATATGACAAATAACAATATACAACATATGTATAATATGAATACATCTCACCATATAAGAGATCAGTGATGAAATTTCCAGTGAGAAAGTTGACAATCAGCTTAAACTTGAATTGGTGTGTCGGTATTTCGGGTATTGGCAATTTTGAAATAGTCGTTCCTCCATTGAAGATAAGTTTCAACTTGTTGGGGCAAACTTTGAAAGTGATGTCATTAGGCATTGGCTCTCCATTGTAAAGGCAATAAGTGTCATGTTCAGCTAGCTGTTCAGACCGGTCTTTAAACTCACGGTTCTGAGTTGTGACATGGATTTAATCACCCTACAAAATAGGTAAACATTCAAGGAAATGAACAATAATAATATAGAAAAAGAGCAGGAAATATCATACCTGTGAATCTTGAATCACCATTTCAAAATGATGCAGTCCACTTTTCTCCTTCACAATCCAAAGATCAACAACTCTAATGAGCATTTTCCAAACCTATTTCCCTTTCTCCAAGTCCTTGATGAGTATTGGGGGTCTTGACATGGTTGCTTAGAAACATAACACAAAATAAATTGCTCAGTATTCATATTTAAACCAAAGAAATTGCTTACAACTTCACAACTGCTGTCATGTGTGAACCAAAGAAAACATGCTCTCATGAAGTTAAAAACAATATATGCATAAGAATCCAGAAAACATGCTCTCATGAACTTTTTTCCAAATCTGTTTTCATGTGTAAACCAAAGAAAACATGCTCCCATGAACTTAAAAACAATATACAACATAAAAATGACAGCAGAAGATCCAGAAAAACGCATGACATTAAAACAACAACAAATGAGAAAAAACGAACCAGAAGATTGATGATGTTTGTGGGGAGGAGGGAAAAAATCGTGTGAGTTGGGCAATGTTTATGGGTAACTGAAGGGGGAAAAATCATGTGAGCTAGGCAATGATGTTACAGAGAAAGAAGTTTCATATAGAGAGTGAGAAGTAGAAATGAGAGAGGGAAAGTTGTGCTAGTAGAAATGAGGGAGGGACAGATGGCATTATAACAGAGGTCCAAATGAAAGTAAATGTGGTGATTAGCTATTTACTAAGAGACCCTTTTTGCAGTGTTAATTTTAAAAGTGTAAAGGGTAAAACAGGCAAAACATGCAATGAGTTTTTGATGTGTTGATAGTAGATAATAAACTTTTCTGACCTCCACGTGGCCCGTTGTATGAAAATAAATAGAGTTTGATTCGTTAAGAGGAGCGAGGAGAAATTAAATTTCTATTATGGTCATAAGACTTTGTTTAATAGAATTTGTATTTGTCTCTCCTTTACTAATCTTGTCAGAACTTGTTTTCATTAAATTTATCCAAATGCATCACTTGTTATACAGATTTTTCATTTCGTTTCATGACAAGATTCAAGAGTTTCTATTGTGCTATTGAAACAAAAGATTTGGTTAAATAACAAGTTGTTTTGCATTTCCAATTGTGCACATAATTTATATAACTCAATTTACAACCATCTTTGAGACTATTATTCACTAGACTTGCATTGTACTCTTTCTAGGTGTTGCATTTGTTCACTATCAATAAACACTTGATACTAGTACAATATCATTGGACTAGACTTCTAGTAACTTATTCAAGACAAGAAAAAAACATTGACAAAGAAAAAAAACACCATTAAACTAGAAACTAAAAACCTATCATTGTTCTCCTCTGAAAGGTTTATATGTCTTGAGAGATTGAGCAAGTCCTTGAATTGATCCAGCAGCTGAGATGATAGAAATGATCAAACAAGCCCAACTCAATATCTTGAGCCAAGTCCATGTGAATGAAAACCTTTGCATCTTGGTTTTCTTGATGTACATTTCTATTGGGAAGTAAACAGTTAATGGATAAAAGGATAGTGAACCAATTAGTCCCAAGAAATCATTGAAGAATGGAAATAACATTGCTACGATTGCGGTGATGATCACATATCCAGTCCTCCATAATACTCTGAAGAAATTCACATTGTAGCTTCCATAGAATGGAATGTTCATGGCATGTTCTCCATTCACAAATTTGCTTTCTGGCCATTTATCTTTGCTTTGGCCCTCGACAAACCCGAATATGGGTTGGACAAAGACTTGGTATGCTCCAATTAAGTGAATTGCTATGCAAACATTGGCAATGTCTATTAGCCAGAAGGGCTCGTAGAAGCCGAAACCTGTGAGGAAATTTCCTGGTGCATCGTTTCCAAATGCGGCGTAACCTAAGGTTCCGCAGAGGACATAGAATAATGTTGTTGTTAGAATTCCAATTAAGCTTGCTCTCTTCATCACTCTGTTTTCTGGAGGGCTTGATTTCAAGGTATCCTGCAATAATAGTACATCGAACCTCATTAACTAATTAACTTGAATCTTACTTCTCTGCAACACAGGTCAAACGCGTATGTGGTGTCAGATATGTGTCAGTGTCTGACACAAACATGATACATGTGTCAGTTGTCGTGTATGATGTCTGTATATGTGTTTTATAAGTAAATGATGAATGATATATAAATGTTACTTGCCTGGATTTCAATTAGCACATTAGAAAAAGCATAAGCAAAGGCAATGTCACCAATAGCTTGGAACATCCTCCAAACCTTTTCTGTTGCAGTAACATCTATCCCAATTTCCACCCCAGTTAAGGTTGTCCTCGCATGCCCCCCACCTTCAAACATAAAATATTTGTATTTTAATTATCTTATTATAATAATAAGACTTTAATGATTTTGTCCATTCACACGCATCTCAATCATCCGATCAAAACCAGACACTAGATTTCAGTTTTAATCGGACGACTCAGATGTGTGTCAAATATAAATTCCAATAAGAATTTGAAGTGACGTGGTTTCAAGTACCTGCAACTTTGGCTATGGAAAGGCCAAGGCCAATGGAAGAATAAGCAAAAGACATAACAGCTGCAACAATTGAGAGCCAAGAGAGCTCATGGAAATTGGGTATCTGACATAGAACAATTTGTATGCAGGCAAATATTATCATGAAACCGTTATTTGATACATGACACTTGTCTTGATGTCCATGCTTGTGAAAACAGTTTGATCTTTGCACAGCCCTGATAAAAATTCAAAAAATAATTAGTTATTGAATTTCATCAAGAACTTTAGTCAAAAAGTTGATGAGGAAAAACTTACACCATACTAATTGATGCAGTTATTGTGTAGCCAATGGTCACACCTATAAGGTTTACATACTGCGCCAATCCACACAGCTTATATTTCATGCCTCCTACAAAAATAATGTCACATATTAAAGACGATAACACTTCTGAACAAAAAAACATGTCTGATGTCCAACACGTGTCAGTGATAGAACTGTGTCTTGTGTCAGCTGTCAGTGTTTTCGTACCTAAGTTAGCTCTGACAACTTGAGAATAAGTGTAGTTCCTCTTGCCATGAACAGGATCAGGTGATCGGTAACAATCAGCAAGAAGAGTTGAAGTGAAATATGTAATGAAAGAAAAAGCAAAGAGAACTGCAGGTCCAGCCACCCAACCCATCTGTGCTATTGCCCATGCAAGTGATAGAACTCCAGAACCAATCACAGCTGTTATTATATGTGCACTTGCAGTCAACCATGTCCCTAAAATTTCATCATCAAAACAAATCATACATACAATCATACCAACAAAAAAATTCAACACTAACGTAACTCAAACCAGACTCTCATACCGTATTAACCGACCAGACTCTTGATAACCAGACTCTTGATACCATATTAAAAGAGTAAATATGTACCTGTTCTCTTGGTTCGTCCATCATCGTCGAAGTTTTTGTCTTCTGGAACATAATTTTCTGGAGCTTCTATATGCATGGTGATGTTCTACTAAACACAAACTACAACTTTTAGTGTTGGTGGAAAAGAGAAGAGAAAGTGGTTGTTGTATTTTTGTGTTGTGTGTTTTGCTTTAAGGTGTTAGGTACCTATATAGAACTGTTTGAACTCTATAATAGAAGGATTGAAGGGAACATAAAATGCTATAAGAAAACATGAAAAAATGGTTATTATATAGAGAATAATTGATGAAGAGAATAGTCAAGGGTTAGTTGAATGGCACATGTAATTCAAACATACGTGAGGAATTTATTATCACTCAACACAAGTGGGGTTGCTTTAGAGGAAATAATATTGAAAAATCAAAAGAATATTGAACTTGGTTGAATTGAGAGTTGAAATTATATAAAATGGAATATTTTGCAAGCATGTGAACCATCGAAAGTGGAACATTTTTGGTCTATGTTATGGAACCAAAGTGTCCCTACACTTTTTGTTCTTTTAGTTTTGGTCCATTCATTTTAGTGATTTTATTTTGTGTAGGGTTGTGTGATTATTGGTTTTCCAAAGTGCAATAAATTCTCATCTGACTAAGACGCATATCGTTTATGGCTTTTTCCCTTGCTTGATTCCCTTAGGACAAGGAGTGTCCTCTCATTTTAGAGTTGGGGAGAGGTGCATGTAGCATAAGGACAAAAAACAGTGGGAAATGGACAGATATAATGTGACACGTTTGGTAGAGAATCCTATTCACTATACATGTGATTATGTTGAGATTGATTTTGAACTCGTGTCAATACAAGGGGAGTACATGTTTGAGACTATCGGATTTGGATCTAAATTTAAATGAATTTTTGTAGTTCTAGAGATTATTTGAACTTGCCATAAAAGAAAATACGAGGAGAAAAAATGAGGAAAAAAAATCAATTGGTGAGAAAAGAATAAGAAGTCTAAGTCAAAAGGATGAATAATTAACATTAAAGAGTGTAGAGTATAATGTCTTTCTTAAATTCTATTATAGCAACTAGTAATTATTGATTAGGAGCATAATTTTTTTTATTTATAAATTAGATAATTGTATACCGATGACAAATAGTACATTTCATAAGAGATTCTTATCTCAATTATTATTTTATAGATGTAATATTTATGATAAATAACATTTTTTCTTGGTCGAAAGTAATTAACATGATGAAAGAAGGATACGTTTCGAATCTCAATATTTATAATTTTATAATTTTTTTTCAATACAAAAGGGACGTGTTTCATTTATTTTTGTTTTTAAGATAAAATTAAACAATTTTGTACTATTGTTGAAATGTAATAACTGTGGTGAAAAGTCTTTCAGTAACCTATTATTTTGCAACAGTTGTTATTTTTCAACCATAGTAAAATTCTTTTTTCTTTTTATATTAAAACAAATCACATATATAAGTAAAAAAAATACTTTTAAACAAAAGAGCGTTCTTTTTCTATAAGCAAAATCCTAACCTCTCACGTCTTATCTCAATCTCCATAAACATGCATACACCATTTTTTCACAAACCTCCATCATATCTTCTCCAACTCTTAAGGATCAAGAAAATGTGACACGAAACTTGCAAGAAGGAAACATGAAAATCATTTCTTTGACTTCTTCACAATTCTGGTACGCGAAACATTTCCATCATTTATGTTATTGTTCAAACTAGTTGTCTTTTATAGTTTGTTATTTTTCTTGTTGTTGAGACATTAAACCTTATAGGTTTTATATTGTTGTTTTTGTTGATACAATGAAAGGTTTTGTGTTATTGTTGTTGTTGTTGTTAAGATGAGATTAAAGGTTTTATGTTGTTGTTATTTGTTGAGTTATATTGTTATTTTTGTTGTTACAAGTAAAAGGTTTGTATTATTGTTGTTGTTTTTAAGATGAGATTAAAGGTTTTATGTTATTTTTGTTGAATTATGTTGTTGTTTATGTTGTTACAAGTAAAAAGTTTGTATTATTGTTGTTGCTTTTAAACAGAAACATCTTTGAGGGCATGCAAGGAGGGCTACCTCATTGAGCCTATTTTTTTTTTTACGTGAAATCAAACTTAAATAGGGCCTCAAAAATCTTTTTTCATTGTTAAAAATATATTTAAGTAGGACCTCTAATTGTGTTGTCATAGTTGAATTGTGACAAACCTAAACAGAGCCTCCAAAAAAATTGAGATGATTTTGTTTTTAAGATGAGATTAAAGGTTCTATGTTGTTGTTTTTGTTGTGTTATGTTCTTATTTTGGTTGATACAAGTAAAAGTATGTATTATTGATGTTGTTGTTTTTGTTGAGTTATGTTGTTTTTTAAGATAAATAAAATCTTTGTGTTATTATGTGCTTTTTGTCAGTTATGTTTTTGTTGAGTTAATTATACCTATTGTTTTTGTTGATATAATAAAATATTTTTATTTCGTTGTGTTTACCGTTGGTTTTGGTAAATCAATTCACAAGTTTTTATTCACTTACAGGATTAAACTCAAAAAATTTCTAGGACATATTGTGCAAAAGAGTTTAATAAAATGTGTTCATGCTTGGAAATTACACGTTTAAATGTGAGATAATTGGATAGAAATTTCAAGAGTACATTGCAGAATTGCTTGAATAGTCAAGTAAATGATAAAATCAAACAAATAAAATGCTTAAGTTAAAAATGATACGCCGTTTCATACATTTTCTCACAAATTCACTATCTTTGTAATTTGGATGTTTGAATTCTATAGAGGACAATAATTAAAAATGCGAACCCTTGTTACAAAGATTAAATCAACTCATATACAAGTACACTAGTGATCGTCGATAATGACAATCTTTCTAGAAATTGACACGTATACCATTATGTGGTCTTTTGTTCCGTGCATTGTTTTCACGTGTCTTCAGTATTTGAATTGTTGCATAACTACCACTTCTGTCGAGAAACACTCCCAAATTCTTCAATTGCCCATGTAAAGAATTTCTATTCGAATATAGTAATCTTGGTGTCGAACAACTACTTGTGTTTAGTCTGTTTATTTATCTCACACTTTATTCCTGTCGAATATTTCAAATCACTTGAAATCTTTTTGAGATTCTGATCATGTTTTGAAGAGAGAGTGATTCTAATCTCGTGGATCTGTTCTTGAGATTCTTCTAAATCAAGTTTAGTGGGTTTCGGTGCAGCTTGAGTCAAAAGTCGCAGGATAACACATTGTTATTTTTTTATGAGCTATATTGTTGTTTTTGTTGACAAGACTAAAATCCTCTATATTTTATATTTGTTTCATGGAGAAGACTAAAGTCCTTATAAGGTAGTGATATCAATGAATGACTTTGAGTCACTTTTTAAAGAGAAGACTAAACTTATTTCCAAGAGAATTCTTAAATATTGAAATGCTAAAGTGATATGTTTAGATTTGTGTTGAAAAAAATATTATCTTTTATCACTTTACTGTGTTTTTGATACTTTGTGCTTAACAAAATAAAATTTATTTTAATTTATAATCATTTTTTTTATAAATTTAATTATATTATAAATCCATAAACATTTGTTAAACAAAGAAGAGATATAATCTTCTAGAGAAGAATTAAAATTCAAAAATAAAATGGTAAATCTGCTGAATTTGAAAAAGAAACATAATCTTGTATTGAGAGAACTTGGAAATATAAAGTTGTGTTGACTCAATATAACATGGTGTTTTCTTTTTAAAATCTTATGGTTAATGGTAAGAACTTGAAAAGGAAACATCATGTTTAAAGCAACAGAACTTTATATTTCTCTAAATACAAAATTATGTTTCCTTTTCAAACTCATCAAATTAATCAAAATGTCGTCGCTGAGATTCGAATTCAATGTCAAACAATTTTCACCACGACCAATATTCCAACTGTGGTGGAAGTAACTCTATCACACCATTCATGAACCATCAACTTTGGTGAAATTCTTCTTTCAACTGCGGTGATAAATACTTTTTATAGTAGTTTTATCCGCAACTATAGAGACTAATTTCTTAAAATGTAAAATAAAATAACAGAAGAATAAAAGTGCTCGAAGTGTAAGCAACAACTACTATAAAAACTTGTACAAATTTATTTGATAGTTAAGACTGTTTTTCTAAGCAATCAAGAAAAAAAATTGTTCATCCTTACATATTATAAAACTATCTAATTTAATTGAATAATACAGAAATTTATAATTTTTTAAATGGAAATATAGAAATTTATAATTATAAAACAGTTTAATGGAAAATACTTTTATAAATTTTTTTTAGAGTCATGATTAATTTATTTTTTAAAACTAAATAAGAAATGAGTAACGTGAGAATTTTTCTTTTAAAATTTTAAAAGCTAAAATAAAGCAACATATATTTATTAAAAATAAATATAAAGAGATTAGAAAATATAAGTGTTTTAAAATTGAATAATCACATCTAATTATATCAAGTAGAATGTTTATGCAAGATTTCTAAAGCTTCCACGTTAGAAAACGAATGATGTAGCAAATTTTAATAATGTGGCGTATTAGGTGTTTTTTTGACGGAAAAAACTAATAACATTTCATTAATAATAATATTTTCGATACACATTGGAACATCATTGAAATTATGGAAACTAGTAAAGTATGGAGCCGCCCGCACCAACACGTGAGCAACCTCATTCATTGGTTTGTCTCCTAACGAACTTAACATGAAAGTTTATAAACAGGAGGGCTAACAAACACTTACACTCCTTATAGATAGCACTGAAATATGAATCATTATGATTTTGAAGGTTCACATTATCCACTACACTTTTAACATCTAACTCAAAATCCACATTATCCAATCCTAGCTCATGAACCCATTTGATTGAGTATAAGAACCCTAAAGCTTCATCCACATGAACTTCAGTAATAGGCGATATCCACATAGTCCGATCAGCAACAAACTCCGTTTTATCATCTCGAATACAAGCACCTATACCAACTTTATCATTTAAAAAGAAAGCATCTATGTTGCATTTTAACTGCCCAGGAGGTTTACTCCACTTGGATTCAAATTCCTCTTG